TTAATATATAATTTTATTACTTTATTAATTAATTATACCTTTTATTACTATTATATATTATATCTTTATTTTATATATTTATATATTAAATATTTAATCTATTAGTATTAGTTTTAAGTTATTTTTTTTTAATATTTATATTATAAACTATTATAACTTTTTCTATATAATCCTATATATCTCCTTTACCTTCTTATAAGCTTTATTTTTATTTATAGTCTTTATTTTCTTAATAATATCCTCCTTTTGTTTATACTATAATTAATATAATATTAATATATATATTACTTTAATTATATTTAAATACTTTAGTATATATTTAGTTAGCTCTATTTAACTGCTATTTTTATTAATCTCTATAATTATTAATATATTAAGTATAATACTATTATAGTGGCTTTATTTAAATTAATAATTAAATATATTAATTAATATATTTAAGTATAGCTATTCTATTTTCTTATTAATTAGCCTATTTTACCTTACCTATTTTATAATAATAGCTTTAGTAGCTTCTATAAACTTATTCTATAAGTTATTTTAATAAATAGTTAATTTATATAGTAGTTAATCTTTATTTTATTAATTATCTATATAATGCTAAATATATAATATTATTATTTAGTAACCTTTATATTAAATCTATAACTTATCCTTTAGTTAATTATTAAATAGCTTACTTAACTTAATATAAATCTCTTTCCTTTTAATTTAATATAATGCAGTTAGTCTAATTATACTTAATACTATTACTGCCTTAATATAATTAGCTAATTAATTAAAGGTATTATATATTACTTATAATACTGGCTTATTTTCTTATAGTAAAGCAGCTAGTAATAATAAATCCTTTTTTGCCTTAAACCTTTATAAATAGCCTGCCTAGCCTATTCTTTTTAATTATATATTTAATTTCTTTTTCTTATTAATAATCTTAATTTTATCCTTTTTAGTAGTATTAAACTTATTAACTTATTTTTAATATAACTTTATTAGCTTTACTATAGTATCCTTATTACCCTTTAAGCCTTTAATTAGATAGCTTAATAAGTTAATAGGCTTATATACTTTAAACTATTAACTTTTCTATTAATACTTAAAAAATTATTAATATTATATCCCTTTAACCTATAGAATCTATTTTAGTTATTTTAATTTCTTTTTAATATTATCTCTTTTTATTTAATTATTTCTTTATTTATATTCTATTTAGTAGTGGCAGTATATATTACTCTTATATAGGTTAGTACAACTATATATATAATATCTCTTATAGTTTAGTATTAGTGGCTTTAAGTATAGAATTAATTTATTTAATAGATTAGGAAACTTAAAGTCTTTTAAATTTATTTAATTTTAAGCTATTTTTATAATTAATATAATGGCTTTATTAATTGCCTTTATCTATATAGGTTAGATTATTAGATATTTAATCTTTAAATACTTAAATACCTTATTAACTATATAGCTAAAATTATAAACTTTATATATAATAAATAGTAAGTCTTATATATAGATAAATAGATTTATTATAGTAGCTATTTTAATGCTATATTATATTATAGATTAAGCTTATTAAGTTAATAGTTACTTATTTTAATTATTTAAGGTTTTTCCTATAATAAATTATTACTATTTTTAATGCTTACTTAACTTATATTTACTTTTTTAATAAAATCTTTACCTTTATATTACTTTATATTAATTAAACCTTAATTATATAAACTTTACTTTAATAATAGGTAAATAATATATTTAGTCTTTATGCCTTAATGTTTAATTATTATTTTTTAAAACCTAAATAAAATTAAATATAAGTATCTTAATATTATTTTTATAGTAATTATTTCTTCTTTAACTTTAAAAAGTTTAATAGTCTTTATATATAAAATTTTAATAATCTCTTACCTCTATCTTTATTAATATATTTTTAGTTTTAGTAAAAATAGTTAATAGATATTACTAAAGACTGTTATTAAATAAAAGTAAGAATAGTTAATAGATATTACTAAAGACTGTTGCTAAATAAAAGTAAGAATTTTATAATTAAAGGCTATTAACTTAATATAGCTAGTATTATTTATATACTTTTAGGCTAATATAATTTTTATAACTATATTGTAAGGGTTACTATAATTATTTCTATTAATAAATAAATTAATTAAAGAGATTATATTAAAGTCTTTAATTAAATAAGCTTTATTAAAATTAAACTATAGGCTTTTTTTAAGTATTATAATAAAGTAGCTATAGTATTATTAATAATTATAATTAAAAGATATAAAAGTTAAGTTAAATAACTTACTATTAAAGTATATTAAATAATTAAAGTATATTAAATAATTAAAGTATATTAAATAATTAAAGTATATTAAATAATTAAAGTATATTAAATAATTAANGTATATTAAATAATTAAAGTATATTAAATAATTAAAGTATATTAAATAATTAAAGTATATTAAATAATTAAAGTATATTAAATAATTAAAGTATAATATATTATAAAAGTTAATATAAAAGTATCCTTTAAAGTAAGGTTATAAAAAAAAGATTTTAATTAATTAAAAAGTAAAGCTTTTTAGTTAAATTAAATATATTTAAATTTAGGCTAAAATTAAGGTAGTTAATTTAATAATATTAACTTAATAAAGCTTTACTGCCTAAAAGGTAAAAAATATTTAAATTATAATAAACTTTAAAGATATTTAAATACCGTTTAAGGCTAATATATAAACTTAAAAAAAAAATATTAATAAATAATTTAATTTTATAAAAGCTAAATTAATTAATAAAAATTACTATAAAGTTAACTTTATTATTAAGTAAAAAATATAAAAATAAAAAAAAATATTATATTATTTAAAGAATTCTTTATATAATAAAAAGGCTAAAATCTTAAATATAATTAATAAATAAAAACTATTAATATAAATAAAAAATTAATAAAGTTATTTTATAAAAAGTATTTAAAGTAATTTAATAATAAATTACTATAAAAAAATAATTAAAAAAAGTAAATTTTAATAAAGTTTACTTAAATAAATTTATTAATTATAAAATTATATTATTTAAAGTTATTTAATAAAATTAAAAACAACTAAAAGGGTCTTTTTAAGGCTAATTATATAATATATAAAAATCCTAATTAATAAAATCCTAATTAATTTAAGCCTTAATATTAGTTTAATAATATTATAGTCTATTTATAAATTAAACCTTTATATTTTTTTAAATACCTTTACCTTATAATTAAATATAATTTAATATTAATATTATAACCTCTTTATATAAAATAGCTATTATTATTAATTACTTTAATATACTTTAAAATTCTTAAAAACCTAACTTTAATTAATTAATATAATAGCTTAAAATTATAAAGACTTTTAATAAAAGTTTTATAAAAAATTATAATATTAAAAAAGCCTATATAGTAAAGTTAATAAAAGGTTTAATTATAAATGTATAATAATAATATTAAGGCTAAAAGTTTAACTTTATTATATAAATTTCTTTTTTTATATAATTTTTTTTTATTTTTATTTTTTTATTTTTATTTACTTTTTTTTACTTTTTTTTTTTTTATTCTTAATAACTTAACCTACTTTATAATTANTTTTTTATATAATTTTTTATTTTTATTTTTTTTTTTTTTTTTTTTTTTTTTTTTTTTTATTATATTTATTCTTAATAACTTAACCTACTTTATAATTAATTAGCTAGCTATTTATATAAAACTTATTTAATATTAACTATATTAACTTAAGTAATATTACTTTCTTTTTTATTAATACTTTAACTTATATTATTTATAGCCTTTTTATTTAAAGTTATTTAGCCTTTTATTATACTGGCTTTTTAGCTAGCCTTAATTATATATATAATATATATATATATATAATTAACTAACTATTTTAATTAGCTTTTAACTATATATTTTTATTTACCTTTTTTTTATTTTTTTACTTTATTATTATTTCTTTATTTTATTTAGCCTTTTTAACTTATAGCTTTAATTAATATTAACTTTAAGCTTTATTTAAAGTTAAAATATACCTTTTTATTAATTCTTACTTAAATAGTATTATAGCTACTTAATAATATAAATACCTTTACTTTTTTAAGTTAATTACTGCCCTGCCTTAAATAGTAATATACTTTATATTACTATTAACTTAATAGCTAGGCTATTTTAAAGTAATTAGTAAATATAATATATAAAGCTATTACTTTTTATAGTAATTTTACTAATTAAAAAATTAAAGCTTGTTTTATTTATAATAATAAATAATATAATAATATTTATATTATTTTAAGTCTTTAGCTTAATAGTTTTAATAAAAAGATTTTAAGCAGGCATATAGACTAGGGCATAGTGCTTAATCTTAGCTAACTTAATATATATACCTTATATCTTAATTTAAGCGTCTTAACGACTAATATAAATAATGCTTTTATTATCGGCATAGCGGACAAGATCGCCTGTTCTGTATAGCTGCCCTTAACGACTTGGAGTATAATTGTGTTTCGACCCCTTTTGCAGCTAAGTAGGGGTCTCTATAAATGTAGTATTGGTCTTGCCAACATCACCAACATAGCCTCGCGCAAGGATAGGACCTTCAACGAGAAGTTCGCCAGTAGCTGCAATGGGCACGAGTCTCAGGATCCTGCGGGTCGACGATCCAGCTGATAGATCCCGTGCCTGTACTGATATTTCGAGGTTGAACGGCGTCTGGAGTGACTTCTATTGCATTACAGATAACGGAGGCTTCTGTTGGGCCGTACAGATTAAAGACTCGGGTCGTTGGTAACCATCTAGAGTAACCTTCTGCTGTTGATGCTTCTCCGCCTTACAAGATAACCTGCAACGATGGCACCTGGCTTGGCTCAATTTGTCTCGCCACTGAAGGAGTCAGCATGAGTTCTTTTTGGCAATCCAGTAGACCAACTGCACTGAGATGGGAGTAAAAGACCGGTAGATATCGACGACACTATCTTCAGGCCTTCGCTTTAGAAGGCTGCTGCTTCTCTATGTATTTAACTGAGACATGGTCCCCCTTGATACACGATTGTGTGTAGAGTGTCTTGGTATCATTCCACAGCACGGCGGTGATCTGCCCCTGATGCTTGTTCCCATCTCCAGGAAGTGAACATTTACCTTTCTCGTTACAGGCTCGCGCATTCAGGAACGAAGCAGTTCCCCAGTTTGGAAGGACGTATTGCGTCGTGTTCAGATATGTTCCTGCTTCAACGATCCTTAATAGATCTAGTCAGCTCAAGAGCTAGAGAGATCAGCAAAGCTTCTCACCATTCTGCGGTTGCACCTTGGGACGGAAAAGTGGGGCCGTGCCATAGGTTCGCGGCATCTTGATCATGTGTGTATGTCTGGCTCGTATTTAAGTTTATAAGAGTGGTGCTGCCATGGTATCCGTTGTTGGTTGTTTTGAGAATTACGTGGATGTGGTCGCCCTCTGATATGGCTAGCTTGGACGAACTGACGTCAATGGGACTATCGGGAATCCTGTACGAGATGATTAGTGCAGCTCCATGAGTCGAATCACAATCATCTCACCATTCGTGAAAGCCTGTATACTTGGCCGTCCCGTTTGGCCACACCGACATTATAACTCCAGCTTGCCAAAGGCCTCGGACAATATTAGATGACAGAACGCCATCGAGCCCAATCCAGAAAGAGGCAGTATACTCGTCGACTTTCTTATGCGGCTTATGGGGAGTCGATAGATGCGGCATCACGAGTGTGGCCTCGGCCATAGTGAAGCCGGTAGAGTTGCTGGATAAGTTGAAGTTGTCGGCGAATCGCACTGGACCAGCCCATGCTTCACCATAAGAAAGCGGGTATTGCCTACCATCTTTCGCTGCAGAGGAAATGCCAACAAGGGACGTTGCTAAAAGCTTGATCTTCATTTTGAAAGTTTACGGCGGGAAATATAAAGGCGAGAAGAATGAACAACTGGAAAACGACTACGGATACAGCTTGTTACTTATAATTCCCAGAAGTGGGGTTCTGCCACACTGATACCTTGATACGACGTTGTCAAATAAATACGAGGTATTTGCCCCCGCTGGTGCCGAGTGCCGAAGAAGCCAATTAATACCTCATAGGAGCAGCCACGGCTAACTAGTGGTTTCTCCTACAGAGCAAATAGATCGTAGTAATGATCTTTATCAGTCCATTTCAATTCACGACGATTGCTGACTGTCCTAACAGATAAATTGCCACACAGGTGGCAGTGGGCTACACCAGGTCTGTGCCCCATGTGCCCAGAGTGTATATACATATAAAGAGAGATTTATAGTAAGTAAAGTAAGTAGATAAATAGATAAAATAGCTAAGAGAAATGAAGATGTTAATACTAGAGAGATACCGTCTTGCAGCTTGACCAGCTAGTAACAGTAAGGTATTCAAAGAATCCCTACATAATCTGGGCATTCTTGCAGGAGCCTTTAGATTGCTTGCACTTTTGGTAAAGAGAAAGCGCACCTGGACCTCCGCAGACCTGTTCCTTGTTTCCGGCACAAGGCATCTCACATTTACCAAGTTGTCCTTTGACGGGAAGATGGCTCTTCTCCATCGTATTTCCGCAGTAACACTCTCGACCATATTCGAGACCAGCAAGTGAGTAGCCTTTTTCTTCGCAGTAGTCAAGGCATGATTCAATAGTCATCTTATCGCCACTTTTATGTGCCATGTCAAGGCTACGGGAACCGTAGGCGTCCTTGGCGCATCCAAGGTAGCTGAACTTCTTGGTGTCGGTAACGTCGGTGAAGGGCCACTTTGGTGGGCTGATCTTCTTTGTAGCGTTACACGCATCTCCCATTATAGGGGTAGCAGGCTCTGGGCCGAAGGTGACGGGGTTACATCCAGGGAGAGCTTTGAGGACACCAGTTGTCTTTTCGTCGACTTGGACAGGCACTCGGCATCCGTTCATGGCGTCGTCGTCGAAGAAAGTAAGTGCGGGGCACTTTTCAATGACCCCAGAATCATCATTGCACTCTTTGACTGCCTTCTGCAGGACCTTGACATCCCAGCCGTTGAGAAAGTCACCATGTAGCCCGTACCCGGTGGGATCGCCGGTAGAGAAAACAAAGGGATGCGAGCTACCATGCCACTTGTCCTTGAACTGATCGATCTCAAAGACTACCTCATAGAATATCGTGACCAGGCGCTTCGGGTGCGATTTTGGGCAAACGCCACTGTCAACGCGATCTGGATACGCCATATGGCTCTTGTGGTCGGGCGAGTCCAGGTTCTTACCATCCCAGCACGAGGGGAACATGACTTGAGCCCGCAACCCGTTGGGGCAATTATGGGAAGGGATCTCGTGAGTCTCTGGCCCGCTTACGCCGAGGCAGGCAAATGAGATGGCTCGTTGCTCCAGCGTGTTCTTGAAGCTTCGCAGGTGCGGGTTACCAGCCAGCATCTGGAAGCCCTCAGGGAAGGCAAGCAAGCCCTTTTCATACTCTGGGTCCTTGGGGTCTGATCGTTGAAGGTAATACACCAGCATACCGCCAGACTGGGGTACATCTTGGAAGGTGCCGTCGGGGCCGCGGTAGTAGAGGTTAGGGATCCAATAGTTACTCAGGTCTTCGCGGGCCTTGCAGGTGGTGCAAGTTGAGGCCCTTGCCGCATCGTAATCCATCGTAAAGTTGAATCCGTTCCCTCCCATTACAGTGTGAGCGTGCGATGATAGCTGTCCTGGGTTGACGATAGGGTCGGCGCGCTGGAGAGTGACGGGGCGAGAGCAGGGCAACCTGAAGAAGGCAGAGACCGGGTTGGCCACCAGGGCCAAGGCCGCAGCAATGGAGAAGGGAAGTGTGCGCATTCTGATAGACCAGAATTAGAAGAAACAAGAACGCGAAGCTGAAAAGAGTGTGAACTAAAGAATTGAAAGGAGTGCCAATAAAGAATGAATGGATAGAAGCTGGCCAGAACTATAACATGAGCGGGATATCGAGGGCTTTTAAGTCTCACCTTTGGTTGTGCTTTTGTCTGAACTTACGCTGGGTCAATGTAAGCTAAGTGAATTATTTTTTTGGTAACAGGGTACAGCTGACAGTTGGGCGTCCTGAAACGTTAGCTGAATCGGTCTATACGCCGGCGCCAATTTGGTTGGTAGATCATGAGTGCCAAGGATATCCGGCGCTTCTGGCAATTAGTTTAAAGGCAAGGATTCTATTCCTCTGAATCGTCTAGTCAATTTGAAAAGGAAAAGGCATGTATATACAGATTGGAAAGGACTCACTGGGCAGTTACATATCCTATTACAGGAATTTGGGCGTTTTTGTGCAATGAGATGATAAACTCCAAACCATGAACTCTTTGCAACTTGGCTTGCTGGCATGCCTCCTACTAGATAATGCTCTTGTGCAGGATGCACAAAGCCGTCAACAGAAATACTGACCCTGGCCCTACACATATACGTATCTATTTCATGGTATTGACCCTCGTCTAGATACAGTTATGCTGTGTAAATTTGGACTCCATGGGCGCCAAGCTGTACTCTGTAGATCTTGTCTCGGCCAGCGATATACAGCCAATCGTCCTTCCATTGCATGTTTACCGCAACGTCACCCTCTGCAACCTTGATAATACCCAGGTGCTTCCCACTAGAATCAAAAACAGTCACTCCCCCGGTAATTCCCCCATACACTCTGCCCTCACTATCTACTTTGATACCATCCGGGAACCCCGCGTCAACATATGCAAAGACATCGCCTCCCTTGACCGGAATTCCAATCGAGTGAGATAATTCGAATTCGTAGATCGTACGACCCCCCGCAGGGTTATCTGAGGAGTTGCCGCGGTTGGTGACATACAGTTTGTTCTCTTCTAGATTGAGTGCCACTCCGTTAGGATTCGTGAAGGGTCCCCCACCCGCTCCAGAAACCATCCTCAGGTCATTTGAGTTCATGTCCCATCGCCACAGGCCGTTGGCTAACTCTGGCTTGATGGTGTCGTTGAAGTTGTCGTAGCCGTAGTAACCGTCAGTGAAGTATGCTACGCCGTCTCGAGTGATGACGACGTCATTTGGACTGTTGAACCGGTGCCCATAGAAGTTGTTGAGAACGACCTCTGTCTTCAAACTCAATGGATCCATGCGGATAATACCGCCAGGTACAGTATAGTTGCCCTCTTGGGCCCAGTAAATACCGCCTTTATGATAATAAGCCCCGTTAGGTACGGTTAATTGAGGCGATGGGTACACTTTTTCAGTTGTTGGTGGGGTGTTGTTCAGGTTCACGCGCCATACCCATGGCATGGCATCGGCAGAATAGCCAGTCTTGGGAGGATGTAGCTCTGCCATGAAGATGCAATTGCATTCTGGGGAGTAAACGGTGCCATCGTGCACCATGCGCTTTGCAAAAGACGGGCCAGGCGGGAATTCGAAGATGGTTTCGACGTGTTTCTCAACTGTATGGTCTTTTATGCCAAGCAACTATACATAACGTCAAGGGTAAGCCAATCTTACGTCCATAGACAGGTTTCGCTCCCTTACCTTGTACATGTCTTTGTTGAGCACAATGAACGATGCATCTTTGAGAGAGCTTTTCAGGCTCGTAGCATTTTGGCTTGCGTCGCCGTCGAGAACGTCGGTCTGCCACCACGTTGTTGTCACATTTCGATTGAAGTCTGTAGCCGGGAAGACGTTCCTGTATGCGCTCCCAACTTCGACGACAGACGGCCCTCTCAAAGGCAATGACTCATCACTGGTGAGTCCAGTCATGGCGGCAGCTGGTCGAGCCGCAGCCTGACCGGTCAGCAGGGAGATGGTGCAGAGACCAGTACGGAGAGAAGATAACAGCATCCTGAGAGATTATTGAGGCAGGAGAAAAGAAAAGGCCTTGCTGGATTTTGATCCTTCTGGGCAGATGGCATAAATAACCAAGCTGTTAATGATGTTTATATACCTAACAGCAACCTTCATTTCACCCCGCAGGTGCCATTTGCTTGAGTTCTCCATGGGGAAGCTCATGAAACATCCTGCACGGGGCCGAGAAACAAACATGCTTGGTAGAAATGCCGACATGGCCAACACCAGGTTGTCAAGTCGGTGTACACGGCATTCTCCAAGGTTGCAGGGGTCTCGGCATTGCACCCGAGAGCGTTGTTGGGCGCACAGACTAGACGATATCAGGGTCGGGGTGAATCCGAATATGCCGGGCATTCAACTCTTGTTCGGCATCTGCCCGTCATCCGTACCCAAACTGCGGAATTGCTCCAGGATCTCAATTAACTTCGATCATTTTATATTACCCCAGTTTCCTGCATCCTCTTTTCCTCGTTATCGGTTCAAACCCACCTCATGGCATTCTTTTACCGCGAAAATGACGGTACCGGAATTCAACATCCTTACGCCCAATGCCATGCTCGGCTATGGCTACAATGTCGAGCACTTTTGGTACGGCATTCAAAAGTTCCAGCCTGCAGCCATCATCGTCGATAGCGGCTCGACAGATGGCGGGCCATACAAGCTTGGCATGAACAAAATGACCTGTGGTCGAGGCTCCTACATCCGAGACCTCGAGCCCATCCTCACAGCTTGCTTTCACCACAAGGTCAAGGTCTTGATCGGCTCAGTTGGCGGAGACGGCAGCAACAAGCATGTTGAGGAAATGTTTGACATTGTTTCTTCGATATCGCAACGTCTGGGATTCAGTTTCAAGGTTGCAACTATCAACGCTGGCATGGACCGGGAGTTGATCAAGACCAGAATCCAGAACCGCAAGGTCGGTCCTTGCGGGCCAGTGGAAGACTTGCTACCCGAGGTTGTTGATGGCGCTGTCGATGTTGTTGCGCAAATGGGCGCGGAGCCGTAAGTTGTAACTTCTTCTGTGCCTGCACGATCATATGAGCTAACTAAGGATCATCAGCTTCATCGAAGCCCTGAAAAACGACCCCGACATCATTCTCGGTGGTAGATGCTACGACCCTGCACCTTTTGCCGCTTTCTGCCTCTCAAGAGGCATCTCCACTGGCGTCGCCTGGCATATGGGCAAGATCATGGAATGCGGTGGCATCTGTGCGATCCCCAAGGGCCGATCCATGATTGCCACCATGCGTTACGAGTCTTTTGATCTGACACCACTGGCACCTGAGGAAAGATGCACACCTCTGTCTGTCGCAGCTCACACCTTGTACGAAAAGACTCGCCCAGACCGTCTCCCGGGCCCAGGTGGCATCCTCAATCTCAAGAATGCCAAGTACGAGCAGATCACCGACAAGACGACGCGTGTCTCTGGTGCTGAATTTCAGGAGACACCATATCAGGTGAAGCTCGAAGGCGTCACGTTCTTGGGGTATCGCACTATTTTCATCGGCGGCATACGAGATCCTATCCTTATCAGCCAGATTGACGATTTTCTCGAGCGCGTGCGCAAGTACACTCAGAACCTCTTCCCTGAACTCGACAAGTCGGATAGCTGTCGCCTTATTTACCACGTCTACGGTAAGAACGGTGTCATGGGCCCGTTAGAGACACAGGCTGTGTCGAATCCTCACGAAATTGCCGTCCTAGGTGAAGTCGTCGCGCCTACACAGGACATGGCCTACACCATCGCCAACAATGCTCGAGCATCTATTCTGCATTTCTCGTATCCCGGCCAGATCGCCACCACGGGAAACTTTGCCAGTCCACTTTCACCACACGAGCAAGAAGCCGGTGCAGTGTTCAAGTTTAGCTTGTACCACCTCGTTGATCTGGAGGAGGGCGAATCTTCGTCTCTTTTCCCTATTAGTGTGAGGAATATTGAAGCGACCGTGAGTCCATCACCCCCAAGCTCTGTATCTACTGAGCGGCTTGCGGCTATTGAGAATGGAACTCTTGCGCCCATTGGTATGTACATATCGTGGATCGCATGTTGAATCAAGGCTGACACCCTCTTACAGAGAAGAAGCAAGTTCCCGCCAGAAGGGTACGAATGGAAGAGCTTGCCCGCATCATTCGATCCAAGAACTCAGGCCCCTTCGAGCTCACTTTCGACATCATGTTTGACGACGAAGCCGTGTACAACCGAGTTCGGGAAGCGAATGTCCTTACCAACGATGTGATCAAGTCACTGTATCGTGTCCAAGATGACGAGATCTTGACCAATATGTTTTTTGAGCCTGCACTGGCGTGGAAATGCACTATCAAGAGACCATGGGCCCAAGGCAGTGTTGGTGAGAGAGATACATTGGGCACACAACAACATGCCTTGTTGCTGGGCATCGAGGTTCCCGAAGCGAGCAGCGACAATGCCAAGTCGTCCAAGGGAGAGCCAGTCCATGTTGATGGGATCAATGGAGTCAACGGGGTCAATGGCATCAATGGTTCCAATGGCACTACACATGTCAACGGTAACGGGCTTACGAGCCATATGCACCTGTCCAACGGAAACGCCACGCCAACTAGTAAATTTGGGTTCGATCGCACAAGTTTCCTTTCTCGCGATGTGGTGCGCGATATATGGAACGGCCTTTCTCTTCCGCAAGATGCTCTAAGGTCCTTGGAACTCCCAGGCGACGATGGAACCCCAGGGCTCCCCTCATCTTTCAAGATCGCATCTCTCGCCCAGGGCACCATCGCTTTATCAGGTCTCCTAGCAGCTCTCATCCACTCCCAGCGGAACCAAATCCCCGTGCCAAAGGTAACTGTTCCTCGAAAACACGCTACTGTGGAGTTCAAGTCTGAGAGGCTCTATGTCCTGGATGGTAAACTTGCACCGTCTCCTTGGGGTCCCATTGGAGGTCTGCACAAGACTTCAGATGGGTATGTTCGTATACACGACTCGTTCCCCAATCACGGATATGGAGCGCTGGAGCTGCTGGGTTTGCCTCTGACGGCTGACCGGATCGATGTGACCAAGAAAACGCAAGATTGGGCCAGCATTGATCTCGAGTCTGTCGGTTTGGACCGTCGCTTGGCTATTTACGCGCTTCGATCTTACCGCCAGTGGGACATGCTTCCTCAGTCCAAGGTCATTGACGACTTCCCTATTTCTCTCACGAGGATCGCATCAGGACCAGTGGGACTTCCTCCTCGTCTCTCACCAGGCAACGATAAATGTCTTCGAGGTCTGCGAGTGGTCGAGATGAGTCGGGTCATCGCTGCGCCTCTGGCTGGCAAGACTCTAGCAGCTCACGGCGCCGATGTCATCTGGGTCACCAGCCCAGGGCTCCCAGATCTGCCAACCATGGACCGCGACTTTGGTCGAGGGAAGCGCACAGTGCAAATTGACATCAACAATACCGAGGACCGACAGAAATTGAGAGAGCTTATTAAATCATGTGACGTTTTCATCCAGGGCTTCCGCCCGGGCAGTCTGGCCGCCAAGGGATTTGGACCCGATGAGGTTGCGTCCCTGAACGCGGGGATTATCTACGGCTGCATGTCCGCATTCGGTCTTAAGGGGCCTTGGGCTGAGAGGCGGGGCTATGATTCGCTTGTCCAGACTTGCTCGGGAATGAATGTCTCGGAGGCCGGGCACTTCGGCGCCGGTGAAGTTGCTCGTCCGACGCCGTGTCAAGCGCTGGACCATGCAGGTGGCTACTTGCTAGCCTCTGGTGTCATGGCAGCCTTGTATCGACAATCTGTTGAAGGGGGTTCGTACCGCGTTGACGTGTCGCTTGCTGGGGCGATGAAGTATCTCCGCAGCTTGGGACAATATTCTGGCAAGTCTGGCTTTGAGGCTGAAGATTTTGAGAGCGCGTCTGATGTGGAGGAGTTTCTGGAGACGCGCCAAACTGGATTCGGCGAGATGAGGGCAGTTAAACATAGCGTCAGTATAGAAGGCGCTCAAACCTCGTGGGATGTTATGCCAAAGCCACTTGGCAGCGATCAAGCTGAGTGGTTGTGAGTCAGACAGTCTTATGCTATTAGGGAAATGTTACCTGATTGTAGATAAAACCTGATAATTAATTGTGATTTGTGTTTTAACGTGTTGCGTAGATTATTCAATTCTTGGTCGGATTTGGGAGCCACTACCCTACAGACCTTACTAACTGTCTGACTCTCTCGGGATCATGCCGGACCCCGCACGCGACTTCATTAGCGCCGACTAGCCAAGATTTTGATTACGTATGAGACTAGGCTCGGTATCTACTGGTCTTGGTCTTGAACGACGCGGGGAGAACATCAGTTACTGCCACGTCCTTTCGACGTAATGCAAGAATGGATAGAACTGCAGAAGATGGCGACATACCATCTCAAGTGAGCCCAAGTCCGTCGGAAACAGCGCCATCGCAGCGACGTCGTCCCAACCGGCGCGACCCTCGGCGTTATGGTTTGTGAGTGCCCGGCAAGATGCCGCTGCTGGAACGTACCCCTGCTAACCATGTCAGCGCGTGCCAAGTCCGTCTCTTTTTTCCCTCCTTATCGTACACGGGCTAATCACAGTGTACGTGTTTCAGAGCTGCAAGTCTAGAAAGATCAAGTGTACTGGGGAACAACCTACTTGTCGCGCGTGTCAGAGGTCTGACAACACCTGCATTTGGCCCGCAAACAGCCAGACGAGAAATGACCAGGCTTCTGACGCGCGTATTCAAGAGCTTGAATCAGCTCTTCGAGAGAGCCAGAGACAGAACCAGCGGCTGAGCAGCCAGCAACGTGAATCGACCATCCACGCGGCGAGCTCCATCGACGAGAATGCATCGCCTGCTGCTTCACTGTCCTCCCTTGCGCAACAACATTTGACCCAACCTTCACCCAGCGATGCTCGCTCGAATACCATCGATGCCACGATTTGGTCACAGGTCGGTATAGGCGAGGACGGTGCGATAACCTACAACGGCCCCACGAGTCGTTTCCATGCTGCGCCTTTGACTGGAAGTGGTCCATCGCCCCCTACGACTCAAGGTCCCGCTGGGTCGGCTGGGGACCTGGCGTCGAACTCGGCTCATGTCGAGCGCTTGAGGTCTCAGTATGACTTGCTCGATACTGTATGGGTCCCCTTGGCCAAATCCAAGTCCATGGCCGCGTTTGGGATATCGGATGAAACGGGTTGGCAGTTGCTTGACATGTACTGGACTTGGCTTCATCCACTGCACAACTGCATTTATCGACCAGGTAAGTAGCCTACCTCATTTTAAAGGCTGTTCTTTAGTAATCGGGGCACGTGGCAGTCTTCCTCATGGACATGGCGCTCAATGGCACATACTATTCCGACTTTTTGCTCATGGCAATCTTTACTTTGGCTGCCCGGCATCTCAGTCGCCAAGAGGGCGATTCTATCGACTCCAATATGGGCGACAAGTTCTTCTCTCGAGCCAAGATGCTACTCATGGACGAGCTCGATAATACTAAGCCGCGCATACCAACAATCCAAGGACTTCTGATCCTTGGAGGGCGACAATGTGCCATTGGTAGAAGCTCCCAAGGGTGGCTTTTTACAGGCATGGTAAGTCCATCTGGCTCTATAACTGTTTGCTGCTGCGGCTAATCGAGTGTTGGTTATGCAACAGGCGATCAGAATGATGGTCGATATTGGGATCCACCTTAATGCGAACCGAATCGCTGAACTAGAAAACTTGACTCCCTCCGAGATTGAGACGAGGAAGCGACTGTATAACTCGGCGTTTATATGGGACAAGACGCTCAGCCTTGCCCTTGGGCGGCCACCATCCTTGACAGGGTCGCCTTATGGACCGGACGAAATTCGTGAGTTATGAGGTCAAAGTGCATGCGCCATCAAAACTAACCCTTGAGCGCAGTTGACCACTACGACAATCAACGCAATTGGCAGCCCCTTCATGCTGACATTACTAATGCTGCCTACAACCCGACACCAATGTATAACACGGCAACATTCTGCGCATTTTGTCAACTACATGTGGTATGTAGGATACTACTCTGCCGCTATCTACGTAGCCAGGATGTTGACACTTATAAATTGCAGATAACGACCGATATGATGATGCTACTCTTCGATCACGTATATACAGAGAATATATATCCCAAGATTGAGGCCATGTCAAATAGACTTACGGCATGGTATAGCGAGCTACCCTCTTCTCTCAAGATCGAAGAGGGTTTGTCACAATGCTCACCGCCCCATATTGCCTCTCTAAAGTAAGTCCCGGAACTCTTCCAGATGACCCAGCAACTCACTAGCTACAGCTTTCTATATCACGCACTCCACATCCTTCTTCTCCGGCCACTCCTGCACTCTCCCAACGCCTCGCTTCGCAAGTTATCGCTCGACACATGCGTCAACCACTCCAAAAGGATACACGCAATCCACGACCTTTATACCAAAAGCTTTCCTCATCGTTTGATGACATATCAAGTAAGCTACTGCGTATATACAGCAGCTACGGTGGATGTGCTCGATATGCGGCGCTCTGAAGCCGAGGCCCGGATTGAAGCCGCGAGACGACTTGGAATGGCGGTTCGGACGCTGCAGGAAGAGGCCAAGCATACACCTGGAAGTGGTCGTAGTCTGGATACAATCAGAAGGCAGCTTACAGTCTGGGAAGTAAGCGGCACCCCCAATGCGTCTACGAATCGACCATTGGGAACATATGGTGGTAATTCAGCTTTTGAGATACAGCAGGCCGGACAAGAGAGGGGAGAACAGTCGTCTACAAATGTGGCCACGCCGCAGCCTCTGCACGTGTCCCAGATTCCACTCGCTGCAGACTTTGGGGTCACTGGAGCGCAGGGTGTAAATGAAGGGGTATCTGGTTTCATGTCGAGGTACCAGAGCCCATTCAGCTTTGGAATGCTTGATACCGGAGCCGGGTTCCATCCTGATTCGTTCCCATGGGATATGACTGAGATATTTGGCAATACGCAGGGACATGGGCCTATGGAGCATAATGAATAGGTTTTATAAGAAGTAAATAATACTAAACAGATTGTCTATTAATTGTTCTTTGACCACGACGTCCTAGAAGGGGTAAATGCAAAAGTCTTTGTTAAGGGTAAAGCAGAAGACACAGTCCTGTATATTTGTTCTGAGCCAACTGCCCATGAATTCTACTGCAACACTGGATTCGAAGATGCAGTAGATATAGACATGAAGCTAATTAAGTGGTCTGTATCTTGTAGCGGCTTTGGCATGTATAAATAAGGTAGCATAATGGACTCCAGGAGGGGACCTTTAGAACAAGATGAAGTATACCGAAATACTGGCGGCAGGTTATTTATTATCTTAATAATTAACAATAAGGTCCATTGTTAACTGAGCTAAAGATTAAACCGGAATATCGCTATCTGGTTCAACCACATAATGCTTCTTACATCCTTGTTACAACACCATGCCCTCGGAACTACTTGTACAAATGCGAACCACTGAACCCTGCAAACGAAGCTAATAAATGATTGACAGCGGGACCAGAAGCTCCAATGTCATCACGAACAATCCCGTCCTGTAGAACGATAAGCGTTTACGGGACAAATCGGTACATAGGGTGAGCATCGCCCTTCTCGGCAATATCGGCAGGAACATGATCAGGGTCACTCTTGCCATGGACCTTGTCGCGGTGTCGATTCTGCATGCGAAGGCATACGCTCAGAATGATAGCCATAAGAGCTGCGGCAAGGAGCACACCGGCACAAACCCACATTCCCTTGTGGTAAAATGGCCCATCTGACTTGGGGAACAATCGAGCACCGAGAATAGGTCCGCATTGCCCAAACATGCCGAAGATGGCAAGCCCTGCACCTCGCTTGGAGCTGGAACCTTGGTTGTCCGTGACCCAGGTGAAAGTAAGGGCGACGGCTGGGAAGACACCGGCACAGACAAGGAATGTTGCGAAGTACCGAATGGCAGTGGTGCGGATGATGGACAGGAGGATATAGCCAACCGCACCTACGCAGCAGAAGACAAAGACAAAGGGACCTCGCTGGCCAACACGGTCGGATATCATACTCATACCCACACAGACAAAATAAGCGGTGATGTATGGGCAGGCAGAGAGACCTTGTGCGTTTATAGAAGTATACCCCATGTCCTTCAGAATAGTTGGGAGATAAGCCGGCAACGAGCCAAAAGCGGTATTGAGGCAAAAGATGATGAATGCCTGCAAGTAGTTCTTGTAGTCGTAGAACGCAGCAAAGACTTGAGCGAAGTTGAGTTTCCTCTCAGTATCCTCTCCACGGCCCTTGATGGCGCGTTGGCTGATGATTTCGTTTTGTCGCGGCGTGAGGAATCGGCATTGTGACGGTGACGCTGGGAGGTAGAAGTAGGCAAGGATCGCTAGAAGCAAGGTGGGAATACCCTCTGAAGGACCAATTAGCAATCGATCGAGGACATCAGGGAATAGCTACTTACCGACGATGAACAACAGCTGCCAGTTGTGGATGCTTGTCTTTGCCTGAACGATTCCGTACGCGAGGGCCGAAGCGAAGCAGTTGGCCAGTGGCGAGAAGGATATGAATAGACCATAGCGCAGGCCCATCTCACGTCGGTGGTAAAAGAAGGTCAGATACAGCGCAACTGCAGGTACAAAACCAGCCTCGAATGCGCCGATCAGGAGCCGGAGAGCCATGATGCCTGCAAAATTGGTTGTTGCGGCTTGCAAAATACTAGCAGTGCCCCATCCAAAGGCCATACAAAATGTCCAGAGCTATTTGGATCATTATCAGCTTTAGTCTTCGGGAGATTCGGGTTAGGTGAACTTACCGGTAGGGGCATGAACTTCCAGACGAGAATAAGCTGAAGACACTCCGTTAGTTATGCGTACGTGTTGGGTCATGAGTAGCACTGCGTACCCAGTGGAAGCAAATGTATGCAATGTAGTATGCAGTTACAATCCAAGAATAGTCATTAGATGTAATGCCCCATTGCTTTCCCATACCAGCGGTGTACGCGTTGCCAATGTTGCCACGATCGATATAAGAAACGAGATAAAGTGAGCCAACTCTGTTTCGCAGCTTGTTAGCACAAACCTCACTCGTTCGCTGGAAAGCTTACTCACAAGGGAATCAGACACCAGTCAAGTTTGCGAAGGGCCTTCTGCTCCTCCTCGGGCGTCCAGCGGCTCTCCACATTGCCGCCCTCCATCTTGACATCATCTTCTAAGGGAGCCATAGTCTCAACGTGCTGCGACAGCTGAGTCTGCTGGGCCAACTTGACCGGAGAGTCATGTGCGGTCATGGTTTGACGAACAAGTTGCAACTCTGCGTTCTCAAGGTCTCGTGTGGCTTTCCGATCAGGGTCTGAAGGGATATTGGCTGTTGACTTTGACGAAGGGTCAAGGCATCGTCTTTATAAATGTCGATTCCATTGAGAGTTCGGAGTTCCCCAGATTTGCAGGGTTCATCTTTGGGGTAGAGGCAGACGAGTCATGGAATGCTGGGGTAACCGGAATCTGTGTAGAGGAGCCTCGGGAAGATACCGAGCCCGCAAAAGCATGTCGGCATGTCGGTGTCTAAGCAAACATGCCGATCCGGTATCAAATCCGAGGCAGCCATTGCTATATTGCCAATGACCTGAGCCATATCATCTTTTGATGCTCTTACAAGGTCAGTGGTTTGGAGAACGGAACTAGACAATAACATGTACCGCGTTGAGAATAGCCGAACAAGGCCTGAATTCTGCCAATTGCCTTTACAGAGTGGCGATCCAAAGTATTCAGCATGGGGTCTCTGGGGCAAGAATGATGAGTTGGGAACACTCAATCTTCTGACACCCGCCATCGTCAAAAATGCCTCCAAGGAGATTATTACTGGCACACAGATTGTTCTGAAGTAAGCATCTGCCTCCCCAAGACACTCTTGGCCTGTGATTCTGACCTCGTTAGCCTGGCTGTTGATGCATTCAGCCAACCAATGAATCCAGTGAGGAAGCCATGTAGTCATAGAATTATTGCCAAAGGTCATGCCAATGATGATGAGGTGAGTAGTTCGTGCAATTCAACCGTTTTCTGTTATTCACAGGGATTCAAAAGCTCGACATGAATACCCAAGGGTCCAGTCACTGGGATGGTCTACGACATTACCCGTACCAAGACAATCTGCTCTACTACAATGGGGTGAACCAAGACGACATATCGGGAACTAACCCTACGAAAAAGATCGGCATCCAAAGTAAGCGAGTTCTTATACAACCCTCGACTTATTGCTAACCAGCTGCCGCATATCAGACGTTTCGAAGCGAGGCATCGTTGGACGAGGGGTGCTGCTAGACTGGGCTACATATGCCGAACACATGTGCATCAACACAACATCTCCATTCGAGTCTTTCAATATCCCCCTCTCGCAATTAAAAGCCGTCGCTGTACATCAAGGAACTACTTTTTGCAGCGGCGATATCCTCTTTATCCGCACCGGATGGTTGAAGGCGTATCAAAGCCTAAGCCTTGAAGAGCAAGCCGCACTGCCTCACAGGAAAGCGCGGACATCTTGTGGCGTAGAGGCATCTGAAGAGATGATGGAATGGCATTGGGAGAACCAATTCGCTGCTGTCGCAAGTGACACAGTGGCATATGAGGCTTGGCCCAGCTGTCGGCCAGCAGGTGTCGCCCTCCACGAGGTGTTTCTTAGTGGCTGGGGCATGCCAATTGGCGAAAGCTTTGATCTGGAGAGATTGGCTGAAAAGTGTAAAGAGAATAACCGCTGGTCATTCTTCTTGACAAGTGTTCCTCTTGATATACCAGGTGGTGTTGCAAGCCCACCAAATGCTATAGCAATATTATAAGGCCTTATCCATAGACTTGAGGGAAAGGGATCTACTTATGGAGTGAGCAGAATTACCGTATATATAACATGCAGGAAAGGGTGTAGGCAGAAGATGGCGGGTAGCCGTCTACATGATGGTCCGACCTCAGAGCCATGCTTGGGCTTATTAAACTTGGCCATATAATATTCATCACAGACTACATACAGCCTGAGCATGTATCGGTGAACGAATCATCAACCGACAGCTCCAATTCCAGGAATAAGGAAACGAATAGGTCCTATATTCCATCAATTTAGGCTTCATGCGTAACCACGACGTAACTTCTGCCGGCTTCACGGCCTGATTTCGTTTGCTTCAATCACGAGCAGGTCGCGAGATTGTCAAGGAGACCTCTAGGCATCTTCAGCGTTGGATACATAGCTCTATCCCCGATGTGGAATAATTAATAAATATAATTTAGAAGAAATACTTATCATAGTCAATAAGTTAATGTACATTCTCCCAAAGCTCAAGCTTCTTATTAAGCGGATTATTGACTGCTCTGGAGACCATATCGAAGTGCATAGTCGATCTACCGCTAGCATTATATTTCGGCCACCCAGGATCTCCTGTTGTGGCAAACGCCACCCAGGCCCGATGCATAGTGTCGACGAGCTCTTGCGTAGGAGTTGGGCCAAGAAGAGGCTCTGTTCCGAGGCCGAGCGTGTCGAACACGAAGGGGATCTCCAACGAATGTGATGCACCAAGGCGACCCCCCATCTGAGGCGATTGCCAGGCAAATTCGTACATATAGGTCAACGCTCTAGCTCCCTCTGCATGGGCGTCGGCAAAGCGAATGGCAGGGATCCGCCAGAACCAGTCGGTCTGGATCGCCGAGAATAGCTCACCAGGACTGGCTCCCGGATGTAACTCACGATACGCGTCGATGCCCTCTGGCAGCAAGCCGTAAACGCCAGCTATCGCGGATAAGTTCTCTTCCGTAATGCGATCAATGGAGCCGTCTGGAACTAAGAAAAGACGTGTTTCCTCGGTGTTGGAGCCAACGACCAAGTCAATGTCGGCTGCAGCACCAGCACGGATAGCATCCATTGGATGCGCCGGAATAATATCCCTGTCGATTGTTGGTGCCCACGGGATGAAACTAAGCGCGACCTCGCCCCAGAAAGTCGGGTCAGGTCGCCCGACCAGCTCGTCTCGTAGCTGCGCCTGAGCATGGAGGATCTGATCAGACGGTGTCGTTTTGATGGCCTCCCATGTAGCCTCAATGCCCAAGATCTCTGCCAATCGCTGTCCAATTCGTTTCGCTGTTGCTGTTGAATTGAGCTTTGGGTTGCTCCCACTTTGCACAATCGCTCGGCGGAACAGCCCTTTAGCCTTGGGGACAGCAAGTAGCGTGGCGACGCTCATGGCACCAGCCGACTCTCCAAAAATAGTGACCCTGCCTGGGTCGCCACCGAATGCGGTTATGCTCTTGTGCACCCGTTGGAGACCGGCGATTTGGTCAAGCAGGCCTAGGTTGGGGATGCCATCCTGTAGATAGAGAAATCCTTGGGCACCCACGCGATAATTGATGGTGACGCACACAACGCCATCGCGCGCAAACCTGCTACCATCGTAGTAGGCCACAGCGCCAGTGGCATGGAACTCAAACATACCACCAGGAATCCAGACCATTACTGGCCTTCCCACGCTGTCTAGACCAGGTGTCCAGATGTTGAGTGTCAGACAATCTTCACCAGTGCTGACTAGCTCTGCGAGGCCCTCAGCAATCTCCGGCGGATAAGGGACCTGCGGCGACTTGGGTCCAAAGCTTAGCGTGTCACGTACGCCTCCCCAATGCTCTGGCGGTTGCGGAGGACGGAGGTAATTGGCTCCGAAAGGCGGTGCAGCAAACGGCACCCCTTTAAACGCATGAACATCGTCAGTAGTCCTGCCCCGAATATCACCCAACTCGATTCTGACGATCGGGTCTGAGGTATGATTCTCGAGGGGATGTTCCGTTGAGAAAGGTTGCGCCGACATGATGCTGTCTTTGTTCTCTGAGGATGGTGATCTTCGTCACATTGGTGAGTGCAGCACAAGGAAATAACCCTAAGGTATCCGTGGCAATGAAAAGCTTGAAATATTCATCTTGGAACCTCTGGGGGGCGACAACGCTTTCGCAGTCTCGAGTAATGGCGTGATGTGTGGCAGCCAGAGGGCAGTGGTGGGGTTATGGCATGCGTTGTTTGCAGTCGAGACCTGTGGCTGAAAGCATTTGTATGCCCACAAGAACTCGATGGTGGTATAAATCATTCGTTTGTCAGATCATGTGGCTGGGATGGCATTGTTTGAGTGGCCTGCTGAGATAAAGTATCATGATATAGCCATTAGATAGAATCCAGTTCTCTGGCTGTTTGGAATCTGCTGTTTACCTCAGGGTGGCAACAGACTGCCGCCAGGTACCTTTTTGTGTCTGGCTACCGCGAGACTATGAATGATATGCGTGGCCATGATCAGTCGGAGAAGCCTGACTCTGGTAGTCGACTGAGTCGTTTTCGTGCCATGCCCAGCTACGTTTTGAACACAAGCACTTGCCAGGTCACCTTGAAATTATAAAGATAGATATTAAGAGGACTAAGTAAATTAAATTGCATCATAACAACTAAAGAGAAGATATCTACATAAGAGTAATTAAACTTTCCTTACTATAAGATGAGTGCACTAATTATTCCAAGAATAAAGGATACAATTTAACATCTAAAGAAGGGCAGGGGCAAGTGCAGCCAGAAGAGCAAACAAGCTAGCAACTGGCTTGCCAGCGCCGTTGACCACGATTGGAACGCCAGTAGGCTTACCACCAGGCGCAGGCTCACCGTGAGAGCCGCTGTCCTTAGACGGTCCCGTGGGCTTGCTGCCAGGTGCGGACTCGCCATGGTAGTCACCGCCCTCAGACTCATGAGAATCATTGGGCTTGGAGTTGGATTCGCCGCCGTAGGGTCCGGTGCAGTCATTTCCTATGCACTCGGGGCCGTTGCCCTTTGATCCACTGCTGTTTGAGCCCTTGCTCTGATCGCCAGAGCTGGAGCCACCATTTGAACCACTGTTGGAACCACCATGAGGCATACCTGCGTGATCACTGCTACCACCTCCATTTTGGCCCTTGTTGTTGATTGGGTAGACAGCAGGGCACTTGCGTCCCTCACAGGCAGGAATCTCCTCGGGCTTACAGTTCTTGGGTGTACCCCAAGTATCCTCCCAAGGTGTATAAAGAATCTCACCTCCAGAGCATTCCTCACAGTCTGTCGGGACATAAAAGTTCTTGTGGTTCCACCAATCATGACACTCCTCAGACTTATACACAGTCTTTCCAGAACAGCTGCCTGCAAAGCAGAAGTATGGAACATATTGGAAACCGCCCTGACAGTCACAGACTTCAGGGATATAGACCCACTGGCCATTGCAGTTGCCGCAGTCGGCCTCAACAAAGATGTATACAACGCGCTCGGTGGCGGTGGTGACGGGTCCAGCAACTGTAGTAGCGAAGGTGGTGACAAAGGTTGACTGATCAGTGACGGTTCGAGTAACTTCGTTGGTGACAACATCAGTTTGACCGCCAGCAGAGACATAAACTGTGAGAAGACGATCGGAAGGAATAGTTTGGCGGCGGTGCATCCTGCGACGCTGAGAGTCACCACCGCAGAACTGAGAGACATCTCCAGGGCACTCAATATCGCAGGAATCCAGCTCAACGCGAGCAGTGTCCTCGCCATCAACCTCATCACCACAGTAACAGTCACTAACTATATCAGCAATTGCAGACTAAGTGAGAACGCGAAATTACAACTTACGTATCATAGACACCAAAGTAGGCTCGACCTTGGCAGAGAGTAGAGCACTGATCCAGGTCCATAGAGGTATCTGATTGAGCGAGCTCGAAAGTGGGGAAGCCATCACTGGATCCGACACAGCCAAAGAGGGTGAAAGCATCAATAAAGTCAGGGAAGCCAGCGAGAGAGGTAGCAGTTGGAGCAGAAGATTGATCCTCAGTGCCAGTTGCGGTTTCAGTGGGAAAGATCGTCTCGCCGTCCGAGTTTGTGGTGAAGCCAGCAGAGTTAGTGCTAGGAGGTAGAACAGTCTCTCCCTCAGAGTTGGTAGTAAATCCTTCAGAGTTAGTGCCAGTTGCGGGTTCAGTAGGGAAGATAGTCTCGCCATCCGAGTTCGTGGTGAAACCAGCAGAGTTAGTGCTAGGAGGCAAAACAGTCTCTCCTTCGGAATTGGTAGTGAATCCCTCAGAGTTAGTGCCAGTTGCGGGTTCAGTGGGGAAGATAGTCTCGCCATCGGAGTTTGTTATAACCCCTTCAGAGTTGGTGCCAGTAACACCTGGCGTCTCAGTACCGGTTGGGATGGGCGCAATAGGCGTAGTCTCTGCATCGTCGCCAGCTTGTTCAAAAGAGAGATGAGAAACAACGACCTCGACAGCATCAGAGCCACAAGTCAGGAAGTATTCGAGATCAGGTCGACCTTCGGCGTTGAGCCTGACAGGGTTGCTTCTCTGCCCAACCTCTGCTCCACCCGTGTTGGTCATTACTTGGTTGTAGATGCTTTGGCCATCCAACTGAACTTCAAGGCTGCACCCTTCGAATGCCTGACGCTTGCGACCTCCGGGGGGAGGTCTAACGAGGATACTGAAGACGACAAAGACACGGAGGCCTGCGAAACTGGCTAGGAAGGGTACGAGTCTAAAGGAAGCAACTCCATTTCGAATGAAGAGAGATCTACAGTCTGTCAGTACCTATTGCTACGTAATTTCCGAGATATACCCACACTGCGGCTGAACCATCAAGTGCAGTAGTGTAACTAGCACCTGGACCAAGCTGAGCGGTTCCAAGAGAGATCGGCGCAGTAGACGGGGCAGTGCTACCAGTTGTAGTAGCACTTGTATCAAGGGACGTAGGAACGGAGTCAGAAGTCGTGGTGGCAGGAATACTAGTGTTTGTAAATCTCTTGAAATTCTGGTTGAACTGCCCGAATGCACTAGAGGCACATGCTGCGAGTAGGAATGAGGACAAACGCATGTTGAACGAGTGGCTGCCAGGAAATGGCCTAGGGTAAGAAATGAATGACAGTGATGATATCGAGTTGGAAAGAGTAATAAGGTTGAACATTTATATGCATCAGGCAGTACAGTGAGCTGGGGGGATAATTTGCGAGGCTTGAATTATGCCAAGATACCTAATCTCCCTGCATTTTCGGGTTAACGCCCAAGACATCTACGAGGTATTACTTCTGGGTCTGTGGTATTCCAATCAGTTCGACGCCTAGGCTATTTTAGTGGCAGAAAATAAAGAAATAAAAACAAGAGTTATAATTCAGTGCATAAAGGCTGTTAAGCCACACAGTTTAATTGTCTTTAGCAGTAAAAGCCAAAGCAGGCATTGTTCGCCTCACAGCATCAGATTGAGATAACCATGTCTAGGCATTCCTAACACTAGACCTACGGCATCTTGAAGGGAGATGGTAAATCCGTGCTCACTCCGATCCAATCAGAATCTTCTGGTGGCGGGGTTTTCTGGTACGCGAAATATTGCCACAATTCGTCGGCAAATACGGATAAGTGTCGTCCAATCATTTATCCCTTCGTGTCTGACTTCAAACGTCACAACGGCTCGGCGAAGGGAGAACCAACGTCCTGTAGGATTAAATAAATCTAATCGCCGATGCATCTAGGCAGTCTTAAGATTTTGTTTATTCTTATTGGTTAGCGTTTGCATTAGCGCTTGTTAAAATATTAAAGTGAATTATATAGAATTAGTTCGTGGGAGTATATATCCTTCCAAAGAGAGGCCCTGACTACAATTAAGATATTTGTGATATCGAGATAAAATATAGAAAACATGTATATGAGCCCACTAGCTTAATGTCTTTCTTGCCCCGATCGAGATGGTATAAGTTATGTGCCAAGGTCTTGGAACGGATGTTCAGGCACATAATGATCTACCCTCCCTGACGCCACTTGTCTTAAACACTCTCATGGCCATATTTAAAACCTTCTCAGGAATTAATCTCATCCGAATTCCAACGGTTATGGTCGCTTGTTAAAGCCATGTAGTTTCAGTAGACTGCTCCAATAAAAAGTTAGTTACCTTATATACTGTCTGGAATTGTATACTGCCCGGACTGACTTTAATTAAAGTGTTATTTTGAGTTGATTGACCCTACAGCTGATGGCTTACATCGCGCGCCTCACACGCTCAGAGTATTCACTTACATGATCGGTGAAACATTGAATAGGTGTTGCTCCCGCAAGGATTCTAAAATCCGATCCGTTAATTTGAGGATGCAATTCGCAAGATCCTCGTTTTGTCTGCGGAAGGAAACCCGCTCGTGCAGCATGTAGGAAGAGTGTGTTGCTTGAGGGTTCGCCGTGAGGTGCGACAGCTCGGTCTGGCAAATCGCCAACATGGCCATCCTATTCTCAACGATTAGTTACCAGAAGATATATTAAAAACCTGGCCTGACCCATCTACGTAGTGACTTACTCGTAATGTAGGTGCATCATGCTTACTAGCAGGTCTATGGTGCTACTCTGTGAGCCCCCATTTTGCGTTCCATCATGGAGGCTAAGAGGTGAGCCCAAGGCGGAGTCAAGTCCCGAGATGAGGGGCATCAAATTGTTGTTGTACCATGTCTTCAAATGACTCTTGCAATCGCGAGACTTGTATTCCTCTCCTTCGAGCATCGGCGCGGGTCTACACGTAGCCATACCTCCTCCTTGTGGGTACACTAAAGCCAGAACCCTTCTCAAGATAATGATGAGAGAAGACATCTGTTCTTGGGCCTCAATAAATTGCTGCTTTTCTTCAGCACTGTAAACTAGAGACCGTCCTATCTCATGTGATAAATCGGCACGAGAGAGCACAACGCAATTCCCTTCAGCTTCAATCATACCAGAAGGGATCATGGGCGGCCCTCGGGTGTACAAACTGTGAATACAGTCGCTGAGTATGCTACGGGATGACTGCGGCCTATAAGGTTAACCTTTAGGCAGCAAACACAGATAACGAATAGAAACACGGCATTCTTTCGCTGAGTATGCAACAACCCAGTAGTCGTCTTAAGTTGCCCTGGCTGAAGTAACTTTTGACTGATGTCGAAACCTTGGCCTGGTAGATAGCATCCTGAGGATGCGGAATTGCCCGACCAAGCCATTGGCTGCTGGGTCTGTGAGCTCTTGAGCTGTGCGGGGCCCAGTGTACAAGCAGAAGAGAGACTTGAGCAACTTCGGTCAAAACTTGAAGCGGGCCTTCTCTTCCTGAGGTGCTGGAATAGGCTTTACTGTAGTAGCCGTCTCTGACATATCGGGCTACTTCTTGTGATTTCATATATGTTGGTTGTTATCCACGGCACTGCTCCCTTTTGGCTGATTCGCGCCGCAGCCGCATACTTCCGCGTCAAGGATGGAAATCAACGAAAATTTGTCGGCAAATCTTAAACTTCAAGTATTCGCGGAAAAGTCGGGCTCAATCTAACAACGCCTTCTTCGAAGCTGAAGACGATTGCGAAGGAATGGGGCCGGCATTCAATGTCCGAGCTAACACAGTGACATTTGGATACATATGAGCTTTCTGTTCGACGGCATGGAAATGAAATTATTGGTCCCTTTAACCGTCATATCTATGGCTTGGCCTTTGCTTGACGGCAGTCGAGACAACATAAATAATCTACTAGAATGCCCTCAGCGCCTTACCAAACAGCTCTCCCTTGAGAGGTCCACAGACCCCCATCTTGTCATAGATTTGATCCTGTTGTCAAACTGCAATGCACGACCCAGCATCTCTCCCGGCGGGACGATCTCATGCATGATGCAATCTGCCAATTAAGGCCCTGTAGGATGAATCTCCTGGCTGTCTGTGGTGACAACCTGGTTCTCAACAGAGCACTCATTCGGTCAAAATGTATGCCAAGCTCTGCCACGAGCATGCAACAGTACCTACAGGTAGTATTGATGACGCGATAGTCGTGGGCCAGTGTCATCACTAAAGCAACTCTAAAGGCGTGCCCAGTATGAGGCAGATGATGGGGAACGGGAAGTTTAGTAGAGTTGGAACAAGCTGTTACAGCCAAAGAATGTAAATGTTGGAGGACGGCTCACCAGGTTCACCGTGGACAGCCACATCAGGTAATTACCGGATAAAATCCTTGCGAGCTGGCTTAAAGTTCTTGTCTCGTTCATCGAGATCTAGACCCTCTGTATATTTAAGCACTTGCGGGGTGTTCTATGCGTCACGGATAACTTGTCTGAGGAAGAGCTTACCGTGCAGAAAGATTTGGTAACGTTGCCTCGGATGATGACAGTCCCAGGTGCATCGGGGCCTTGTGCGCTGCGAACACTGTTTAAAGCACGAATTACCTCTTGGTAGAACTGCCATGTGCGACGCTTTTCGGGTTCTTTCTGCAGAGTGAGGAGGAAAATATCTCCGCGTCGTTCGAGCCCAAGACTTTGTTACCTGATTTCTGATGCACATAGAAACAAATCATGATGAAGCTCTTAATATATAAAATTACCGCAGCGAGAACTTCATGTCCAGGCAGATGCTAGAATGACCGATAAACTCAAATTTTCAGCCTAATCGATGTGTGTGACGGGGTAGTCTGCATACAATTTCAACATGTGCCCAACTCTTCCTGATTGTGCTTTCCCCTCAAACAGGGCTATGACGTCTCATCGTCAGTAATTTCAGCAAGAGACCGCACTACGAAGACAGGTGTCTTGCTCTGTGGGTCTCCTGAATGTCTAGAAAGCAATCTCGATAATAGCTGCCTGGCTGCCGGAATGCAGGTCACAATGCAACCAACATAATTTTCCACGCATGCGCAAAGAACGATCCATTGTTGGCCAGCATCCACTAATTCTTGTTAGCCCAGTATATTCAAGGCTTTAACATATTTACCTGCTCCTTGAGAGGGTAAGAGAATCTGTGCCTGCATTATAGTCCGGAGAAGACTTGCAAGAGTAACACTAGCCTGTCAGTAAGATTCAAAGTTGTATTAGGAGACTTACAAAGCACCCAGGCTAAACATGGCCATAACTCGAATCTTTTTTCTCCGTTTCAGTCCCATCCCATAGAGCTGTGGCATAGGTAAGGCAAGCAACCAGATATCCAGAACGCAATTAAGCGCGCAATATACCAGGATGATTACGTTGAGACTGAAGTACTTGTCTGCCGTGAATAAAAAGTCCTCTTTGACGTTCAAGCAGAGTGTGACGGCACGTCCCACCGTGAAAGTAAGAGTGATTAGGGTAATTGAAGAGACACCAATAAAAGCCATAGTCACCCATACCAAGATGGTGAATTTGTAGTCGGGGAATATCCGCATATAAAAGAACAAGATCGAGATTTTAGCCAACGCAACACCTATAATGTAGTGAATGTGGACAATGAATGTCCACTTGGATTTCTTAGCATCGTTTGACATCAGTAGAGGACAAGTATACAATACCCTGAAAAGATGAGATATTGTTTTGGGATTGAATAGTGGTGCAGACATCCCAACCCCAGCTTTTATAGCTGCCTTAATAGTCAGTTTCAAACACAGATGAAGAGTGTATTGCAACAGCATACCGAGTATGGTAAAGACAGTAAACGGTATTAGGGTTAACTAGTGTTGTTAATAGACTGCAATAAGAGGAATTCTTGGGTTCTTACAAAAGTCATAAGGGATGAGGTATCATCAGAGCCCCACGGGGTCTTCAAGATGAATCTTGATGAGACTCTCAGAATTATGAACACTGTGGCAATTATTGCAAATAATGTAACTATTATCCGAATCGATTGGCGATGATCTGTTAGCGGCGCTTCACATAGCTGCTTGCGTCTCTCCAAAAAGGCTATATCAATTCATGTCAGCCGAGACGATTCAAATCATTGAGGATACCATACTCTTTGTCTCTTGAGCGTTACAAATTGGAGAGATGCAACTGATCAATTCTTTCGTAGCATCCGGATCCATACATTTGTAATTTGATCCACCGGCTTGGCTAACTGCCTGAGATACACATTGGAGCTATGGAACATGTCAGCGCAAAGGAATGGCCAGTTTGAAACAAGAGGCAGAGCTTTGTCTTACAGCGCATTGTGGGATAGGCGTTGTAGATAGAGCATCAATCTGAACAACTGAGTATGCTAAAATAAGTAAAGGAACAAGTTTTCTGGCATGAATCATTATGTTGATGTATAATGAAGACTTGAGCGTTATTTGATGCGGAGAAGAGTGTTTCTGAGTATTGCGAGAAGGAATAGCATCGCGATACCTAGAACATTTTATTTAGTCTTAATAACAGAACAAAAGCTCAGCCACGGAAAACTTTTTGCAAGCCCCAGTCACATAACTAACCCGAAACGTCAGGGGTCGGTCGGTAGTTCCGATCTATCTGGAATGCAATAACATTCCCTGCAAAGCCCGCTGCTCTAAATCTGGCAAAGACTGAGTAACTTCACAGAACATCTCCGTAGCACAGCTTTGGGACAGGGGATCAGCCAACAGTTTAACGCAAAAATAATACAAATGGGAAGGAAAGGGTTCTCAGCCACGCCGACCATAAAGCGGCATACCAAGAAAGACCATCCCGGAATCATAACAGGCATACAAGTCGTGACAACAGACCATGCAATGACATCGGCGGGCATCTGCCATCACGGCTGGCCTTTGGCTAGGTAGATGGCAGGAAACTGATTGGGGATATAGCCAACATAAAACAGCGATAGCTCAGCAGATCATATGGTGTCACGCATATGCAGGTTATCCTGAATATCTACCAGCTGAGGATTTTCCACGTTGATGCGGTCCAGGTAGCCCATCAGCAACATGAGAGTTACGACCAGCGAGAAAGCTCAATCAAGTTTTCGCTTGAGTTTCGTTTCGATCGATCTGCCGACGTTTCTCGAGGGTGAGCTAAGAGAGCAAAGAGGGAGGGAACGTTGTTATCTAGATGGGTCATTTGCAGCTGAGACTTGGGGATGAGAGCTTAAATCCGCAGAGAGAACGCAAGGGGAGAAATACTCATCTATTACTACCTGTCCTTCGATATAGGTGGCATATTCTTTCTCTGCACAGCTATCATGAGATGCTCTGCATTGTACGGCCATTCTTGCTTGAGGCGTATGGCAATCACCTTCTGGACGTGTTTGCTAGTACCGGGGTTTGATAGAGGCGACTGAATGTTTACTGTTCTTGTCGCAAAGATAGACGGCTTTATGTGCGAATAAAGGTGGCAGCATGCTGGCGCTGGGCATCTTAGTCCAGACCGTGGAAAGTCCAATAAGGCGTCGAGGGTATGACAATGATTCGCAGAAACTCATTATCCAGTGACTAAACCCTGCTTTCCACGAGTTTACCCAGCGAGTGTAAACTCAGCGTTTTACAGTGTCGAGAGATGCAGGGTTGGCGATTAGAAAGTTTAGTTATTTTAAACTTATACCAAATGCAGGCTATAGTATTAGCCTGCTTTTTATATAGTATAAACTGCATTAAGGTTAGAAAGTACTATATAGTTAAGGAAAAAATACATTATAGTAAATATAATATTAAATAAAATATAATAAAATTAAATTATTTTTATAAAAGTTAGCTTATTTATTTATATTATAAAGAATTAATGTATTTTTTATAAATTACTTAAAATATAAATTTATAAAGTATAAAAAAAGAATCTTTTCTTTATTAATTATAAAACCTTTTAATTATAATAATTAATAATTTTTAATTTTTTTAATATAATTAATTTTTAATTATAATTTAATAAATAGGTTTTTTTAAGTTTATTATATAGATTTATTACTATAAAACTATTAATAGTTAAATAAATTTTTAATTAACCTATAAGTTTTAATTAAATATAATTTAAGTATACTTAAGATTTATATACCTTAAGGTTGAGTGATACAACGCAAGGGAATTTAAGGCTCTGACAGAGAACAACCTACGACAAGCTGTCCCCCGCTGAAGGAATCATCCTGTGGGTCTTGACGATTGATAAGGACAAGTATCTTTGTGGGGCACATGTAGAACTTTAGTTCCGCCTTAAATCTTACATAAACATCTGACTTTATTTAGAGTTTTATCTTTCTTCAGTTCCAGCGCGCGGACTCAAGATGGTGACCGGTAAATTCGAATACAACATTTTGCAGGAAAATGAGATCAGGGTATTGGTGCTGGATGCAGCAACTCAAGAGGGAGACATCCTCTCGGGCGCTCTCGTCGTCGTGAAGCATATCCCGGGCGATCACGTCACCCGGTACGATGCGATGTCATACACCTGGGGTGACCAGTCAGATCCAGAGTATATAGATCTGAGGCATCCAAGACCGATTGGTCACGACAAATCTTGCATTTGCAACAGGGAGTCTTCGGGGTCGCTCGCTATCGGTCGCAATCTTGCTTCTGCTTTGAGAAAGATCCGTCACCAGAGCAATAACCAGATCCTCTGGGCCGACTCAATTTGTATCAATCAACAGGATCTGGATGAGCGAGCCGCGCAAGTCCTGCGGATGCGCGATATATACAAACACGCCCAGCGCGTCATTGCCTGGCTCGGCCCCGCAGATGAGCACAGCCCCATTGCGATTGCCATGCTGCAAGAACTCGCCGACTGCGTCGACTTTACCAACGAGGAGGATGACATCTTGGATAACCGGATAAGGTTTAAGATGGATAAGTATGAATTCATTATGAGAAAAAACCCAGACAATTCACACGACTGGTCCAAGCCTATGCCCTTTTCTGACCACCAATGGCAGGCGTTGGTATCATTGATATCACGGTCCTGGTTCCGCCGACTATGGGTTCGTCAAGAAATCCTACTGGCAGGCAAAGGCATAATTCTCTTAGTAGGAGACAAAAGTATACCTTGGGTGCATTTCAGGAGCGCCATCGAGATAATTGCTGCAAAAAGAGAAGCATTGGCTGGCACGGTTGACATCCATACTACGGTCGAGTTTTCCAACGCACGCAGCTTTTCAGCGCTCCGACACTTGAGGGACTTTTTCTCTCTTGTAGCTTACACACACGCCTGTGAGGTGACAGAGCCCAGGGATAGAGTCTTTGCACTGTTGGGTCTCGCAGAGGGCGGCTTTACTAGTGAAATTGTGGTTGACTATAGAAAGGATGTTAAGGACGTTCATCGCGATGCTTTGGTGCGGGCTTCAACGTACCATCAGGATCTCAAGTTGATGTCGCTGTGCGACTCAGCGTCTGAGCCGACATGGATCCCCGATTTGGAGCGGATACAGCTCCAGCGGCCTATGACTTACGGTCGAGCTGCCCTTTGCTCCGCCGAAAACGGGCATGCGTTTACTAAGGAGCAATTGTTGCTACAAGGTATACGTTGCGACTACATCTCGGAGCTAGTCGGGCCCCAGGGCAGTCAAAACTCTCAAGCACAGCTCCAAACCACTGTCCTAGAGGCAGCGCGACGCTTTCTGGGACCCAATCCAGAGACTTGGGATTTTCAAAAGGTTCAGCAATTTTCCCTCATGCTGCATGTGAATGACTTCTTTATCCACCCCCCATTCATCAACAAGACGCACGAGCAGTTGGCGCAGCGAATCAGCACCCACAGTAAGACACTCGGTGGCCAACTTGCACACTTGACTTACTACATGCACAATCGCTCTATATATCTAACCAAAATGGGTTACATCGTGCTGGGCCCACGAGACTGTCAGCCGAATGACCTCATCGTTGTCTTCCTTGGCTGCCATCTGCCCATGGTTCTTCGGTCGATTGAAGACGGCGAGTACAAGCTGAAAGGGCCTTGTGCTCATCCAGCACTCTTGGCCGGTGAAGCAATTCTTGGCGAGATGCCAAAGGGTTGGCGCCTAAGCTATTCCAGACGAGGTGAAAGCCCTGTCTTTGAGGATCCAGAAGGCAAGCGGCATCATATAGACCCACGGTTAGAGGGTATGCCGGTCCCTGAGGAATGGGAACTGCGTTGGAGGAACAATGGTACTCCGTTTTGGTATATTGCTGCAGAAGATCGATGGACCAACTTCGATCCAAGAATATCACTAGAGGGCCTTAGGAAGAGAGGGGTGAGAGTGGATGATTATGTATTGCGGTGAGAGCGTAACGCTTTATTATTATGTTGTCTCTCTTACATTATGTACTTATGCCAAACTGCCTAACGTAGTCTAGCATTAGCCGGGGAACAGTAGTAATAAAGGTTTTATTATCTATTTTCTATCTTGGATTTAGTAAGCAAAGACAGGGTCACAGTCCGCAGCTATTTATTTATAGTGTATAGAGCTCAATGTGTCCTCTCTCTGCTTAATAGGTAATTATGGATACTCTGCAATTTAAACAAACTTTTAACTTTTAAAACAAAACTTCATTATGTAATGATTTGCCCAATTCGGAAATGCCGGGGCGCCAGCCCCTTATTACCCCACACCAAGACCCGAGGCATAAGATGGGCCGACTTCCCTGGACTAGCCAGTGGAACCCAAAGCATTTCAAATTCCACCATGTCCGCAAACACCCCTGCCACCTGTCGACGAGCTCGGTCGCCCACAACCGACCCCCAGAGGCTCAAGAAGAGGGAGTCTGACCGCAAGGCCCAGCGCGTCTCGCGCGAGAGGACCAAGAGCCGCATCGCATATCTCGAGGACCTTGTCGAGAAGCTGAGCAGCGGGGATGATCACGACAAAACCTTGTCCTTGATGGCTCAGCTATCCGAGGTGACGAAACAGCGGGACTCGCTGGTTCGATTTCTTGATACTACGTCTCTGTCTTTTACTAGGCATCTCTCTGAAGCTAAAAAGTGGGATAGCAAGACTGTATCCCAAGAACAACCTCAACCACAGCAGCCAAGCGTGTCAGGTTCTGTCTACAAAGGATCTCCCGCGTTGCTGCCGGACTTGCTGGAGACATCTCCAGCCGGCAATGCGCTTAGTTTTTTTTCGCCCAACTTCACTGGAACTCTTCAGGGGGACACAGCATTAGATGGCAGCCAGACCTGTGTAGATCTAGACTCGGCAACGTACTGTGCATCGAATAACCACCACGCTGGTGACAAGACACCAGCAGCGCCATCGCCTTGCGATTGCAGTTCCTCGGAGACAAGGCGGCTCTCGGACGGATCTGTTGTTAGCCGTAACATATGGCAAGCAGGCAACCAGGTCCTGAAAGGCCCTCCTGGACTCCTGCCAGCCGCGATGCTTGAATTGGAGTGCGAGGCTAGCGAAGACGTCCCAGTGCGTGTTGTGCTTTACGGCTGGGATCATCTAGAACAGTCAGGGAGAATGACACCACTTTGGAGGAGGATCCGGCACCTCGACGAAATTTGCTTTTCTGGTTGTGGCCAGGTTGAGCGTCTTGCAGTGATTCACATGGTTCACCGCTACATGCGCGCCTATGCTGACCCAACATCGGCCAACATTAATGCCATTCTACCACGGTGGTATATGAAATCGTAAGTCTTGGTGTCCCTTTTAGTTTGGCTTGATTCTTAACTAACTGGTGTGTCCAAGTACGTCATCACAAGATGTCTCTGGCCATCCAGCGGTAGACTACTTTGCCTGGTAAGAACTGAACCAGCATTTATTCACGTAGCTTCAAGAGCTGATTTGTACCTACAGGCCGGCATTTCGACAACAATTTTCACGGTACCCTCATCGATATTGCAGTAATTTATTCTGGCACATGTTCAAAGAGCACTTGCGCATCACCTGGCCCTATGAGTTCCGTGATGTGTATTCCGTCAACGTGGGGCTTGGTAGGTATGGCCTTTCGTCCTCATTCAAGGATACAATCTCCAATCTCGGCTGTTGGACCATGCACTCGGATTTCTTTTATCATTTTCCTGCACTTGTACATGACGTGCCCAAGTCCCCGCAAACCAGTTTGCCTGTCGCAATTCATCCTTTACCTCTTCAGACCAACTCATTAGGGTACCTATCTCGAGGCCGAACTCCATCACATCACCACAGCAGTTTCAGGACCATGGAGAGCACAATTTCTGACCCTTCTCAAGGTGGCGAGGATGATCAAGGATGGTGTTATGACGCTGTTGTTGGGGACTATAACTGGGATTTGGACAACCTTTAAACTCATAATTACAAAATGGAGTTCGACTCATCTTCCAACTCAGCTGATCCGCGTTTCAAAAACCATTTCCAGCTTGGGGCAGAGCAGTGTAAATCCGTCTGCTAGCCCCTCTTGGAATGCCTCAACTGTTTGGTTTGGCGCAAGGCGGATATTGAACTTGGAAACAATCTGGGTTAGAACATGCCGAACTTCAAGAAGACCCAGTTGCTTTCCGGCACAGGAATAACGGCCTTTATATAATGTCAGAAAGTTCTCTCCGACTTAACTGTTGTTGGGACTCACCAATCGAGAAAGGGGCGAATGCTGAAGCATCGCGGACGAGATCGGGTTGTGTTGTCCATCGCTCAGGAATGAAATCGTTGGGGCGCACAAAGCATCTTTCGTCTAGTTAAAACGGTCAGGCATGTATCAGTACAGATTAGGGTCACCACCTACCCCGGTTCAATGTATATGTAGGTGTTTGGATAATCGTGTTTCCTGGGATAAATGTTCCCTCGATCTCCATGCCCTGTCGGGGTGTAATTCTTTGCAGACCCGAGGGAATGGCTGGGTAAAGTCGCATGGTCTCATCGATGATAGCTTGGAGGTATTTGAGTTTAGCAAGGGCGCTGTGACTATGAGGAGAGTCCCCTTGTTTCAGGAAATCGTCAACTTCTTTCTGTAACTTCTGATAGACATGGGGATGGCGGGCCAGCTCAAACAAGGCACAGGTCATGGTTGTGGAAGTAGTGTCGCTATGTAAACGAGTCAGCCAAATATTGTCATATCTTGAATTGGAAATATACCTCCCCGCAACCACAATAAGATGGGCATCACCCAGGAGGTTGAGATCGTCTTGCTTCGTGTGGACTGATTGTTCTTTGTAGGCACCTAGGAGCCAGGAGAACAAGTCTGGTAGGTGCGGCTCATTCTGCCATCTAGTTAGAAGAGAAAGGACAGATACAAAAAGACAGCAGGCCTACCTTTGTCCTCTGATCCACATGTTTCCGTAGCCATTTTAGGAATTGTACAATCTGGCGATTCAGGATAGGTATATCCTTTATAAGCAAATAGAGCCAAGATGCTCGACCAATTGGGCTGCCCCACAGGGTAGACATTTGAGTTAGTTCCATGTAGTAATGCTTGACTCCGTCATTAAGCATATTGAAGCTCTTGCCAAATGCCAGGTCGCCCATGACGTCGAAACCATAAAAGCCGCACCAGTCTGTGATATCGACCGGCTTACCACATCTCTGTTGCAGCTGATTCATCAACAAGCCCGTATACTTCTCAATTCTTGGCTCATAATCTCTCATGGCTTTTGGAATAATTAGTCTTCTTTGCAATAATCAAAAGATTGGCGTATTCACACCTTTGGCATTAAGACCTCTATCCCATACTTTTCTTCGGAGTGTATGCTCCTGCTTATCCCTTGTAGCATGCAAAGATATAGTAGGCACAAAAACATTATACCAAGGACCCTTTAGACAAGGAGACGAATTTTGGTAAATTGTGGCCACGGCGCTCGGTGATGCAACTGAAATCTCGGATGGACCTTTGACACAGTCAGCGTTGCGTTAATATAGAACGGAGAGCTAAGTTAATACCCAGTCTGATGAAATCGCCGTAGGTTTTGTGTAGCTTCTGCACTTCCGAAAACATATGAAACTTCTTCATCGACATTGTTATCGCGCACAACGCAGACAGTGGAGCAAATCTTGGACCAGGAAATCGGCGCAAGGGATGAAAGAAAAATCTGTAGACGACTATGCTGCTGTATACCCCGGCTATGAATGCTGCTAGGAGCGCAGAAGAAACATACCATGCATCGAGAAGGCTCTGGCGTTCCAGGTCACCATGATAGGCTAAGAGGCCAAAGAGAGATGCATAGACAAGACCGAAGGAAGCAACAATACGATGAACGGCAACATCCCATTCTCCAATTCGAAATATAGCTAGGTGAGTGGCGACACCACATAAAGCCACACAGCAAAGGGCAGGAAGGCTGTCGGGTTGAATATTAGGAGGGGCAATCATAGTGAAGATTGGTTGCTGATAGTCGAAAGAGAGTAAGTGCTATTGTTATCACTCGCCCAGTTGGAAGATATAAGACATCTCTATGCTATGACTATTGAGCTATATGTAATGCTGACATCTGATATCTTGACTCAGAGGCGAAATCGTTACCCCGCATGATCTACCAAGGTAGTCAATCACTTATGCAAGTGTATACTGCAAGACACGTGAGACTTCCTTGCCCTTTCTTAGACATTTGACAATCCTGACTCAGTTGGCCCTGAGTAAGCCGGCTGACCGGGAGATCACCCAAAGTGTCAAGGATTAAATGAGGGGGAGAAACAAATCGGGTAAACAGAGTCATCAGATGACCTAGGTCCGGGCTAGGGATGTAAATGAGGTCATGATTCAGGTTCGTGGCAAATTTCATGCATAGAGAGTAAGGGTTAGAAGATGATTCTATGTACGGCCAATTCTGATAAGCAATGCTCTCATTATTGACTGATTACTAATAACATCTCTCTTCGATCTCATACATTTGTGTGCCAGCAGCTAATATCCGCTTCTTCCCAAGCCTCCGATTCTGTTTTCCATAGATATCATCGGACACGTTGACTTTCCAATACCTCTACTAAAATTCTTTTAATGTCTCATCCAAGAGGTCCACTCCATCTTCACTGCTCTCTAGCTCTCTATCTTCAAGCTCCATGCTAGCAAATGGATCACAGTCCAGGCTATATAAATCAAATATCTGTTCATCAGACAGAGATGTACTAGATTCGTCCGTTTCTGTTACTAAATCAAGAGAATCAAGGCAGTGAATACTTTCCAGACCTTCAACAGCATCAGAAACATTCGGTGAGATCGCGGTTTTCGAGGGGCGGCAGTATTCCATCATAGCAGACCAGCTACTGCTCGACATGGAACAGCCTTGCAGTGATTGTGAAGAACACAGAACTCGTTCCATCTCTGACGTACAGCTCAAATACTGGTATGGCTGATAGGCTATAATGTCTGTCCAGCTTCGTAGGCAGCCCTTCCATTGACTCGTCAGACCACTCTCAACGGAGCTGACAGTTTGGCGAACTAGAAGGCCCAGGGGTTCAATACCCTCAAATCGGGGTTGATATGCCTCTAACATTTCGATCAATATGCGAAGCCGCCTCTGATTTGCTGTGGCATGACCGCCGAGCCTAGCTTCGAATACATGCATCGCTATGGGAACAGCGGCAAAGGCAGCCCTGGTGAGATAGGTCATTATTATCTGCTACATGATCATCGGACGTAATGTACTTACACACTGATGGGCAGAAAACGTGCAAGGCCAAGTCTGACGGGCTCTGACAGATGGTCGATAAAGCGAAAGGTAGCAGAACGAACCTCGTCGACCAGGGCAGAGGGGAGAACCTCAGTCAAATCAGACAGGCCAACATCAAATATGAGTTTTTGATGATGGAGTAGTAGTTTAGCTGTACTTGAGTCTTGTTAATTTTGATCTTTTAGGTAAACTGTTAATTCAACTTACTAGTATTGTATGTACACAAAGTTTGTGTAGATAATAACAGACGGATGTCGTTGCTGACTTCCGTGGCCCAATTCGAGGAACTCTTCTCCGGTGGCACTGAACCAAGCCGAAAGATCTTCCCTGCATCTAGATAGAATTTTGCGGTCATCACCACATACAGTCTCTTTGTAACGTGAAGCACTGCGATGTCGAGCCATAAGCTGAAGCAAATCTACTACCGTATAGCAAAATTCCATCAATCGACGGAATATCCTGAATAGCTGGGCTTTTGTGTGTGGTGTATAGACCAAAGACCCGTTGAACTCGGAGCTGAAGTCCTCTTCGACTGGTAACGGGTATTGACCAGGAATCTGTACACATCGCCTCTGTCCAAGAGAAATACTGCGGTCACGGATGATGCAACACCACCAGAGACGCTTTAGTGAAGCTGTGTCTGGTCCATTAATGTGTCTTACAAGGTTGGCACCAAGGCTTTCGGCGTGTTTGATCGCTCTTATCAACCATACTGAGTTGGGCGTTGGGTGATCGTTGCCTGATGAGACAGGCAAGAAGGTAAGGAGCAAAGCGCCCCGTGCTAGGTCAACGGCAGAGGGTTCGATGTCGAAGACATAAAGAAGCTAATTCAAGTTAGCTACCGTCAGTGTTGAGTGACAAGAAGAAAACAACCTTGGCTCGTTGGTAAAACCTCGCAGCCGCAAGGCGAGGGCATTCAAACCCCAATTCTTTCGTCACAGATTCAGGCACGAACTATAGTATCGTTAGCAACACCTCGAAAGGGTCATCAGGTCCACCCACGCTGCAAGAGGCAAACATCATCGCCTGGACCAAGAATAGAGATAATTTATTCTTCTTCTGTCCGTATTGTTCCCAGAACACGCATTCGTCCATCAATGGGAGCATTGGGTGCACGTGTAGAAAGTATTCCCGGATAAATTCATCGAGTATAGGTCGAGGCGGAACGTTCAAGCATCCTTGTTGTCGTAAGAAGCTAACATCATCTGGAGGAAGTTTACTCAGATCCGGATCAATTAGAAAAGCAAGGCCGTCATCTGTCGGATCCGACGTCGCGTTGTCGCTTTCCGACCTAGCATTTGTAGACTCTATTTGCACGTTGTCGAGATGCCATGGTGAGGGATTCGAGGATGAGAATGGGCAGTCCCCAAAAGAAGAGTCTTCGTTAGTTGTAAACATGCCATCCTGGAGCCAGATGTTGTCGAGGATAGTGGTCGCAGAGGTAGTGCTGGTCTTGTTGGTGACTTCGGCCTTCTTCGTTTCGAGCTTTCTGCTATGAAATGGGTGAGCGTCGCTCGTCCTGCCGATTGATTACTGTTCGATGGACGACTTACCGCTTTGGCTTCCGGCCCCTGACCTCACAGTGGACCTCATCCAAACGGCAGTTTAGACAGGGTGAGCCTCCAAAGGCCAGGTCGCACCGGATCTTTCTACTTCTACAATGGAGGCATGCTTGTTTGGCGCGGCGTTTTGGCATACCGAGGTTGATGAAGCGCATGGGGAAACTTTCTCTGAAGGTTCAAAACAGATAAGCTGAGTTTGCAGTTGTCAAGAGCTGTGAAAAACCCAGTCTATACCCAGGAACTGGTCGGCTTCTGTCCCCCCCAGGTTAGATTACCCCATACCCCACAATCGGCTAATGCATCTTGACTCAGGAATCGCTGCCTCAGCGTTTTGACCAGATTCCCAGAATGCGGGGTTCTATTCACTATTTGTTGTTTGGCGCACTGACCCTTGATGGGCAAATGACATTAATGAAAGATCTATCCAGTCACTGACTCATACTGTAATTAAGATGTTGTGGTCTGTTTATGAAAGCCAATATTGCGCTGTGAGCAAGTCAGCCCTCTCTAATTGCAGAGTAAACTTACTGCGCGATTTACATAGCTTGATAAGGTAAAACCGGCCGCTACCTTCACTTGAAGAAAATAAACCTCTTTTAATTAAAGCTAGAATGCTTGTTGCGACTGATCTACAGAGTAGCTCTGTCTAGCGGTCTCTCGTCCACTTCGTTATTAGGTACTTTGATGACGTCATTGACTGCCGAAGGTTAACCGAAGCTCTTCCCGTATCAGCCGAAAATCCGCGCTGTTCCCTCGAAAAATAATCCTGTTCAAGAAGCTCGAGGCCATATACACGCTTCTAGCCATAATAATACCAAGCTTCCATTTACAACAACATAGATGCGATAGAAGTATTCATTCTGATGCTACTGATATTACATTTTTATAAGCCCGCCTCGACTGAGGCGATCAAGCGGTCTGTTCACTTACCCATCTTGTACCATTTGGCGTCCTACCCTACACAGTTCCGCCCTTCTTGTTTTCAACCAATCACAGCTCTTCCTGTGCCAAGTGCGTGACACCTACTGCTTTCTCTCTCGACGCGGAAGATATACAGGGCAGGAGGTCCGTAGCTTCACAACAGAAGCAGACAACAGAATTGGCAGCTGGAACTTTTGCCAGTAAATACACCAGGCCTCGGCCCAAGAATGTCAAAGTCTAGTTAGTGGAGTTGTATGATAGACATTTGCCTGCCGTTTTGGGTGACCGACTTAACCAAGGTGCTCTACCAATCAGATGCTGCTGAATAACCACGCGCTGATTGGTATTCACAAGCAAAGATGGAAATGCGACAGACTTCATGCATATGGCCTCGGAGCATACTCTCAATCAGGATACCTACAGAAGCTAAGGTATCCAGTCGGCTATCCGGCACAATTATCTAAAATACGTAAAAACATAATAGGTATAAAGTGCAAGATGAAAGATCTAAAATGCGTCAGGGGCGATTTCAACCAAACTTGCAGGCTTGAGTTGAGGACTTCAAATTGATTTTGCAGCAAGTTAAACCGATCCCAAGACATGATTGCTGGTATATTTTTATTTGCGACCGGCGCTTTAGCCAAGGTCAGCTTCCCGCCTATCCCGTCTGATCTCTCAACCCCAGTACAGCAAAGACTGTCGCTAGATGGTCCAAATAGTAAGTATAACGTCAAACTATAGTACGATTCATCGCTCAAGCCTGCCAGGTGTAACTATCGGCTGGAATACCTACGCCAAGCAAGCCAAACCTTGCGTGCAATACGGCCTTTCAAAAGACAACCTTGATAAGCAAGCATGCTCGGATATATCATTGACATATCCCACTTCTCGCACCTGGGCCAACGCTGTAACTCTTGGCAATCTGTCTCCAGCAACGAAATACTACTACAAGATTGTCTCTAAAAGTTCAGTTACCGATCAGTTCCTCAGTCCTCGGGCAGCTGGAGACAAGACGCCATTCGCTATTAACGCCATCATCGACCTTGGTGTTTATGGAGAGGATGGTTTCACCATCAACATGGATCAAACGAAGCGAGATGTTATCCCCAATGTTCAACCTGCCTTGAACCACACAACCATCGGCCGTCTTGCAACAACAGCCGACGATTACGAATTCATCATTCATCCTGGAGATCTTGCATACGCCGATGATTGGTTCCTGAAGCCCAAGAATCTGCTTCATGGCGAAGAGGCTTATCAAGCCATTCTAGAGACATTCTACAATCAGTTAGCTCCCATCTCTGGTCGAAAGCCTTACATGGTCAGCCCAGGGAACCATGAAGCAGCATGTGAAGAGATCCCCATCCTCAACAACCTCTGCCCTGAAGGTCAGAAGAACTTCACCGATTTCATGTACAGATTCGGCCAAGTGATGCCTCTTGCCTTCCCTTCAACCTCTTCCGATGACACGGCAAGAGTGAACGCAAACAAGGCTAAGCAACTGGCAAATCCGCCATTCTGGTTCTCCTTCGAATACGGTATGGCACATGTCGTCATGATTGATACTGAAACCGACTTTCCCAACGCACCTGATGCTCCAGGTGGCTCAGCAAATCTCAACAGCGGACCTTTTGGTAGTCCCAATCAGCAACTTCAGTTTCTGGAAGCCGACCTTGCATCAGTTGACCGTACAGTCACACCGTGGGTCATTGTTGCAGGTCACCGCCCTTGGTACACCACTGGTGATGAAGGTTGCAAGCCTTGCCAACAGGCATTTGAAGGGTTGTTCTACAAGTACGGCGTTGACTTGGCTGTCTTTGGGCATGTGCATAACTCACAACGCTTCTACCCAATTTACAACGGGACTGTTGATGCTGCGGGAATGAAAGACCCCAAGGCTCCTATGTACATTGTGTCAGGAGGTACTGGAAACATCGAGGGGCTGAGCGCTGTAGGGAAGAATGCTACGGGCAACGCATTTGCGTATGCAGATGACTTTAGCTATGCGACTATTCGGTTCCAGGATGCCCAGAACCTACAGGTCGACTTCTTTCAGTCATCAACGGGGAAGCTCTTAGACCAATCTAAGCTCTTCAAGTCACACAACAAACAATTTGTTAGACAGAACTAGAGAAACAGGTGTAATGTTATTGCCCTTGACTCCCTACTTTGATCTGCACATCTCACTGTTCTAAGGCCCGACTAAGCCAATGATGTTGTCGCAGTATACCTTGCAATAGCAATATTCCTTGAGTTAATACGGATCAATTAACCCTAAGATAGATATGAGCGTTACGTAATAGCAGTACTCGCCAAGGCAATACACCACCCTTCACTTCATATACAGAACTCATGCTCGTGATATTATCAGCCTCATTTGGCTAAAGATCGTCGACGACTAATATAGCCCCATTGTTCGCTCATCCATGAATTTCAATTGGTAGATGCGTATTTGTCGACATACGGAACTGTCCGATAAAACGATGGTAACTTGGGCCACTAACGACCAGGGTTTATACTGACCCTGGCTTACGGAGTACAACATAGACACCGCTCGGGACTCAACATACTAACCAAATGTAGTATACATTGAGCTGTCCAATCAACATCGAAAGAGTCCAAAATTAGCTTCATAGACAGGCTCAAACAACTACCATAACAATCTTAGATCATTTATTTAAGAAGTCGTTTTCCCTCTTTTTCGTCTTTATTTCGCTCACCGTTCGCATATTTTCCTATCATCACAATGCCTTCTACTCTCAGTTTCCAGTCCGAGACACCCACTACTCAGGGAGAGCAAGATCCCTCTCTTGTAGCTTTGGAGCATTATGGCCTACAGCCGCCCTCTGCAAACCAAAAGCTCACGCCATTGGATATGAATATGCCCAGGCTATATGGTATCCGTTTGGTCCTTTGCTTTCCGACCAATCCTAGCATGGATAAGTGGCAGATGTGAGTCTCGTAAATGACAATATGCAAGACAGGAGACTGACGGATGCAGATATGAGAACTTGAAGAAGGGATTGGCTCACACTGTCACTTCCATTCCTTGGATATCTGGACAAATTGTAAGTAATAAATTCGACATCCGGATTAACGGTTGCTAATATCATTGATTGGGTAGGGCCCGGAAGAAGGACAAGAACCCAAGAACCGAAAGGTCCAGATTCTCGACTCGCCAGCTGGACTCAGGTTCCCGTACGTGCTATCTCTTTGAAAGACTCATTTAGACACTCGATGACTAAATCGCTGTACAGGTACAAGGATCTCACCGATACGCTGCCATCCTATGCAGAATTAAGGGAGAAAAACTTTCCCTTGGCAGAATTCGCTACAGCCCAGGTCGGCCCTATTGATGTCATGCCGCAGGGGCCCAACCAGCCTGTCTTTGCAGCTCAAGCTAACTTTGTCAAAGGTGGCCTTCTGCTGACAGTGGGAGTTCATCACTCGGCATGTGACGCGTCGGCCTTAGACGCCATCCTGAGCACCTGGTCACATAATACTGCTGTGGCTAGCGGTGGCTCTGGATCCTTTTCCACGTTTGATGGACCATCCAACGATCGCAGTCCCTTGATGGTAGGGGATCTTGGCAACGTCGACGTTGGTACCTTTCCTGAGTACGTTCTGATGCCTACTCCTCACTCCTCGGATGGTGATCTATCGAGTATGTCTGGATTCCAGATGCCTCCACTCGCCAGCCATCTGTTTCACTTCTCGCCGGAGTCTCTTGCAAAGCTCAAAGAAGAAGCAGGGGCATTCTCCTCACATGATGCTCTCTGTGCCTTTATATGGCAGCACATGACTTTGGCACGAATGCATTCTGGAGTCTTCAGTAGTCCCCCTGGAGAGGACTCAACATCGCGCTTTGGCTTTGCAGTTAACATTCGCAACCGAATGAGCCCTCCACTGCCACCTTCTTATATGGGTAATGCTTCAATGGGCTGCGTTACCGAGAAGATCAGCGTGGCTTCCATTGTATCAAACAACGGATTAAAGCAAGCTTCAGCCACGATACGGAAGTCTTTGAGCGACTTCAACAGTCCCGGAAGGATCACTTCAACTATTGGGCTACTGAAGTCGAGACCTGACCCTACCGACTTCAAATTGTCCTTTAATGGCTTCCTAGGCCCGGATGTTGTTGAGTCTTCATGGGCTGATCTTGGCGTTTATGGGCATAAATGGGGCGCTGCCATTGGCACACTGGAAGCTGTTCGTATACCTGGTGAAGGCTCGG